TTGAAGCTGGCTGGGAGCCTAGGGCTTCATGGCAATCACAATACCAAGATATCAAGCAGATGAGCATGCCTGGGGTCAGCACCCCTGAAACTATAGATGACAGAACACATTTTTTTGTCTCACTGCCCCTTTCCTTGTTGTCCTCCTTCCCCACACAACTGATGCTGTATGATTATTTTAAGAAGAAGGCCAGGATATTGCTCTTCCAGCAGCATCCTGCACTGTGGGGCCTGCTCCCCGACTCCCATTTCTTTATTGGTATGGTGTTGCCCACACAGCAGGTTTCACTTCTTTCGATGATCATCCTCATAGTAGCTTCGTCTTCATGTTACCGAATGCCAGCCTCAGTTTCCCTCAGCCAATAAAAAGCAAAAGAGTTTGAGAAAAAGGAAAGTGGTTTGATTTGTCGACAAATGAAGAGGGCAGCAGACTCAAGTCCGAAAGACCACCACCCTGCTCTTTGGCAGGGTGCAGAGCTATTTAAACAACAGGAAACCAAAAGAGGGGAGATGGGCAAGGGTCTGCAAAGGGGAAGGGGCAGGGATCACCACAGAGGTGGAGACCAGTAGGTACCACCTAGGATTTAGACATGTCTGAGCGTATGTGGGCAAGTCTGAAGAACCAGGGGGTGGTGGGGCTTACAGGACTCTAGTTGCAGCAGTGATTCTCAGTATTGACTTTACTAGACTTGCCTCAGAAGCATTTAAAACTCCCCAAAACAATTAACTCAGAATCTCAGGGGGGTAGGTAGTGGTTTTTTTCAACAGCTGTGTTGAACTTCCTTTTCCTTGGAATGCAAGTAAAACCTGTCAAACCAGAGAAGAGAAATCGCAAAGAGTAGGGAAAGACAAACTTGATAATGCTTATCTGAGACACCAATCCTTTGTAACTGTATCATTGAGACTGGAAATAAGTTGACCCTCATAGTGCTGGGCATCACATCTAGTGTGGCAATGACCAGAGGGAGAATGGTACACCTCTTCATGTTGTTTTTTTTTTTTTAATAAACCTTCCCTGGCACCAAAAGTTTATTTAATTGTAATCTCAGAGCATAACCCAAGATGTCCCACAGTGTCCCTTTGAGGTCCTCAACCTCACTGGCATAGTTGAAATCCCGGGAAATTTAATGAATCTGGATACTTGGATTTGAATCACCACTACCCACCCCTGAGATTCTGAGTTAATTGTTTTGGGGAGTTTCAAATGCTCCTGAGGCAAGTCTAGTAGAGCTAATACTGAGAATCACTGCTGCAACTATAATCCTGGAAAATCAGCTGCCCCCTGGTTCTTCAGACTTGCCCAGATATGCTCAGACCTGTCTAAATCCTAGGTGAACACGGTGTTAGGCTTGTTACTATAGAATGTCTAGTCTCTTGTCTTAAAAGAGATTGCAATAAGGTTGTGCTCACATATACTGACTTACCATACACTATCTATCTATCTATCTATCTATCTATCTATCTATCTATCTATCTATCTATCTATCTGTCTGTCTATCTATCTATCTATCTATCTATATATCTGTCTCTCTGTCTATTTATCTATCCAAACGCTAAAATACAACCATCCGGCCAACCCTGTTCATCCCTCGTTGACAGCTGTCAACTAATAAGGACAAGAATGTTTCTGTAAAGGAAGAGAGCAGAGATTTTAAGATGTGTTCAGCGTTCTCACTTTTAAGATATGCTAAGATATTTTCAGAGTATCTTTCAGGACATGACAGATACTCTTTAGTGATTGCATGATATGTGCAAAACATGACCCATAGAACACTTGAGATATTAGGAAACCAAGAGACTTGGTCGTTGAAGAGGAATGGAAATGAGATTGGGTGGTATTGGGGACAGACACACAGGACAGGCCTAGATTGGCCAGAAGAGCAAACTCTGCCTCTGTTCAGGGGCAAGGGAGAAACCCACTGGAGACCATGGTCAGGAATCTCAGCATTACTCCAATGGCAGTGGGAAATCATCACCAAGTTGTGCCAAGGAGGGAGGGTTTCAGATGAAGACAAGTGTATGAGCAGGGAGACCATATAGCAGGAGAAAAGTGGGGATGGCTGCCCCAAAGCAGAGGGTTCTTCAGGAACTCCACTGCTCTGTGCCTACAGTTACCAAGCAAAATCCCCCCAAGTCCTTTGGGCAGCCTAAGTTGTGAGGAGCCAGTTTCACTGGATTTCCCCTGAAGTCTGTGTTCAGCCAATCAACCCCTGGGTCTGCCATCAAGTACTAACAAAACATCTCCCTCCTGGGAAAGTGGACTTCTCGCACCCTCTCACTGTCAGATGAATCATTTAGATGGAAAGCCAAAGCCTACTCAGGTAAAAAGATACCTGAACTCCAGGTCAGGATGCCAATCCTGTTATATGACTCCTCCTAACCTTTCAGGGTATGTGGGGGTGTTTTAAAAACACAAGATTTTCATTCACTCACTGTTCCCTAGCAACCACACACACAAAAATATCTGTCTTTTTGATGTCAGTGAGCACCAGCCCAAGGATGCTCAAGCACATCTCCGGAAGCAGGGAGGAGAGAAAAGCCCTGGAACCAGGTCTGGCTGGTGAGAGATCCTGAAAGGGGAATTAGTTAAGGCTGGGCATGAGCAGAACCCAGTACGAGATGCAGGGGAGTGAGGGGCAGGGACCTGCAGGGAGATTGCAGATATATATGGTGTGATATTCCTGTAGAATCTGAGGCTTTGAATTCTGGGGGGCTTTCTCTGAAACAGCTAATGCCTGATGCCGCTGATGTCTTTCCAGTCGTTCTTTTGTGTGTTGTTTCCAACCTGTCTTGTTTTTGATAAAGCTCTATAGACAGAAAGAAAGGGTGACTAAATAAAAATCCAAAGGGAAAGTGTATGCAAATGCCCTTTTCTACCCAGGCACAGCTACTCAATGCACGTAAGTTGCTCAACAGCAATCATTCAATTCTTTTACAGCAAAGGAAGCACAGAGAGGCAAATTCATTTGTCCAAAGTGAAACAGTTAGTTGATAGACACACAGGGTCCCTGGACCTCCAGCCTTGTGGTTTAGAGATGAGAGATGATCATTTTCTTAATGGTTTATATCTTTGAATATTATGCCAATTGATGGGCGTGGGCATGAAGAAAGGAAGATGGTTCTAAGAGGAAGCTTCATAACAACCAAGAGACAGCAAATTTTATAATCTGTGAGTCTAAAATTCAAAAAGCTAACTGAGATTTACAAAACAAAACTGGGCTGATGCAGACACTAAGTCTTTTGCTCTTTTAAAAGCATATAAGCTAAGGCCCTTTGCCAAGACTTGTGGTAGGTCGTGATGTTTATAACAAAGATTTTCAAAGTGTTGAATTACAAAAACGGTGATCCATGTGGCCTTTGGAGCCACAGGATGTTGACTGAAAGGTGCTCTTGGTGATGTTAGCTAGGCGCATCATTTTGTGGCTAACATCTGAGATTAGGGTGCAGAAGAACTTAAAGGCTTGGCCCCAGTCATCCCAGCCAGCAGTGGAGTAGACAGCACTGGCCAGCATCTGGCCTCCCATCACTGGGCCATGAGGCCATTCTCTTCCAAGTGACTCTCTTGTAGAAAGCAATATTACTATTTTTATAGTGAATCCATTTCCCATATCAAGTTCTTGCTTTCTCCTCACCCCTTTTCTCCTTTACCATATCTCAACCAAGGCCAAGACATGCAGCAGCAGTGAGAATGGTCCAGAAGCATTAAACAGGTTTGGGTAAGAATTTACTTAAAACAGTGGCATACTAGTTCATTTCTACTTATGCTTATACTTATGCTTAAAGTCAATTTGTTGCAGTTTTCCCAATAGTTTCTCAACTTTCCCCCAGTCTTCAAGAAAGTCATGATTTTAAACACACGAATGATGTCAAAAAGTACAGAAGACGATAGAAAGAGCATACATGGGCCTATCATCCCAGAGTCCACAAATGTTAGCACTTTTCTTATATTCTCCAGAGACATAGTGTGTCATGTGGTGTGTGTGTGTGTGTGTGTGTGTGTGTGTGTGTGTGTGTTGATTCGAAGGGGTAGGCTGATCAGCTGGAGGACTCAGGAAGAGTTTCAGTTTATGCCCTAAAGCATCTACTGGCTGAATTCCTTCCTCTTCTACACAGGTCTTTAAGTGATTGAATGAGGCTCACCTATAGCATAGAAATTTTAATTAAATTTACTAATTTAATTCAATTAAATTTTAATCTCATCTAAAAAAATACCTTCACAGAGACAGACTCATATTTAAGTAAATATCTATATAGTGACTGAGCTAAGCTGACACATAAAATTAATCATCACAAATTGCTTTAACTCTTTTTTAAGAAATAAAATATTGCAGAGCTAGCAGATACCTCATGTATACCTCTTCCTGGAAACCTCAGGCTAATCATATACAGTATTGTAAACCAATGTGTACGTGTGAGTGTGTGTCCCGTGTGTGTGCATGTGCGTGTATATATGTAACCTTCTTCTTGTGACTTCCTTTTGACACCAACACCTGAACTCCAGTTTCTGGTTCAAGGTTGCAGTGAGAAGTGAAGACATGGCCTGTCATGCATGCTCTTTCCAGAACCCTGGTCATGTGTTCTTTCCAGAACCCTGGTCATAGCAGGCTGCAGGTAGATTCTACATAAAACTCTTATTATGAATGACTCTGCCAAGGAGAGTCACTAAAAATCACTATGCTGAATCACACAGAACTCAAACATATTCAGATCACAAACCTTGTCTAGATGGCTCTACCCAAATAGTCTCATTCACTGTTATGTGATCCATGTCTATTTTACCGGCTAGTTTTCTGTATAGATAATTAAAGGAAGGATGCTATAAAACTTCAAAAAAAAAAAAAAGCCAAATGAACTCCTGGTACCAGGCATAACCTCACAAAGGAAGGTGCTGGAAGCTGGAAGCTGCTGGCTGAGAGGCCTGAGCGCTGCACACACATTCGGATCCCTTCCAGAGCCTAGGACTCCATGACTGGTATTTGCAGTGATAGCATCCCTAACTCAAATTCACTGTGATTTGCTGCTGTAGTCTGTAGGCTCAAAGAGGCTGGATCTTCGCAGGTGCAGTATAAGCTGCAGCTACCTGCTTAACTGGATAAGGTTTTCATCATGGAAAGGAGGCTCCTGAAGAAGGAAATGAAAAAGCTCCTGTAAGTATGATTCAGTATAACTTTCATATATTATATGCGGCTTTTGGTGGGTTCTGTGTCCTAGATGACGTGGATGTTAGCTGGGGAGTAAACATCAAAGGATCTAGTCCTACTCTTTGGGAGGTCAGATGGCCTGGCTTCTGCCTGCTGCCCGAGAGGAGCAAGGCTGTATCCGCAGCATGCACATCGCAGGCTTCTGTTTTCCACACCCAAAATGCTGGGCCCAGGGCTCAGCCAGCCTGAGCTGCCAGGGTGAACAGATTCCATGGAGAAAAGATATAGGAGAGGACTTTGGAAAATGTACCAAGAATCCAGCATTGAAATCACAATCATTTCTCTTTTGTCAGCAGTTTCATCAACTAAATAATTCATCTCCTTTTTCTTGCCATATCAACTTCATTTTTAGCCAGGAAAACGTCAAGTTTTCCCATGCAGACATGTTTTCTTCCTGTGGCAGTTTTTGTTTGACTTTGTACATTGGTGAAAATCATGGACCACATACGTAGGGGGAAAATGATTACGTTCTATTTCATATTTATTGTGGGCACCACACTAATAACCTCTCCTCAAATAGTTTCTCATAGCCCTATCAAATGTCTTTTCTCTGCCTACTAAAAGATCATTACCTTTAACAAGTACTTAAGAAATATGGGAGTAAATGATGCATGACTTCACATATGTTTACATGTAGGTGTTTACATGTAGAATAACAAATTAAAAAATGAAACATGAGCAGGAATGCAAGCTCTGCTACTAGACTGGAATTCCAGAACTAATACAAGTAGATTATATTATATATCCAAATAATGTATTTAGACTTTTTAAAATAAAGTATCTTAGATTCACAAAGCAAGAATTCTAGTTCTTTCACAATCTTTCCAGAAGAGCTTAATGTCTGAAGAAGAGCCTCTAGAGCCAGAAGCAGACTTGTCCTCCACACAGTAATTTGCCCAAAGTATTAGTAAAAACCTTGGCAGTCAGATCTGGCCTTAGGTATAAGTGTAAAATTTGCAGAGATCTACCTCGGTGACCCCAGAGTCCTTTTCCTGATCCCAGGCCCTCTTCCTGTCTCACCCTGGCTGGGTCCTTGTCCTCCCAGGACCCTTATTAAAAGTCATTATTTATGAAGGATCTGATAAGGATAAACTACAATGGAATTAGTAATACATTTCGGTGCATGACTCCTCCTTAGGGTATCTACATCCTGATGAGGAAAAGCCTTAGGGCAGAAGACACCTGTAAGGATGTTCTGTCTCTGGGCGTTTTCAGTTTTCTACAACCTGCCTGAGTTTAACATGGGCAGCAAGGGGATCTTTATTTTAAACAGTGATTTTCAGTCTTTGGGGTTTTGTAAAACTTTTTCTGTATTTGAAAAATTGTCAGTTTCCCTACTTACCTATAAAATTGTATTCCAACCCTGTGAATTTAATATTTAGGAATGTATGATTTAAATTGATTATAGTTAGACGTTTAAACCCCCAGCCTCACAGAGTGGCCATTTCAATCAACTTAAGTATTCATTCAGCTGTGGGAGCCATCAGTGACTTCTCTGGCATCTGGGTAGAGGTGGGAGGGTTTCAAGGTTGAGTACCCTGTCATTCCCAATGCTTCATGCTGCTCTCTTGCTTTTAAGGGGAGATTATATTGGCACCAGACTTCGGGAAAATGAATTTGACCCAAAAGGAAGATGGCGACTCACCTTCCTAGATGATATGGTAAAGAAAGGCATGCAGATCCGAGACACATTTGTGTTATATGTGTGTTAAGAGGACAAAAAGTGTCAAATGTATAAAAGAACAAGTCTCATCTTGATTTTCCTTCCAGAATTCCTCTGCCTCATCTTTCATGCTAGGATTATCCAGATGGCTTTTTCAAGTCATTAAAGTGAAAAAAGAATGAGAAAATAAAAGTTATGAGGCTTTTGCTATTTGCTATTAGGAGAGAAAAGATTAAGAGGCAGCATAAATATAATACATATATTTATAAATGTTATATACCTGATGTTAGAATTTTTTACAAGATTAACTTATTGTGTAGATATCAAATATGATCTTTTTTTATTTGCATAATGCGGGGGTGGAAACAAGGAGTTGAGTAATTGTAAAGTCCCTTCATGTTAAAACTCAGATTCATGAAATGTAATGAAAGTTCACGTTACATAAATTGAAGAAGCAACTGTGAAAAATCTAATTTTTAAGAAATGAAGAAACCGTTAGTGTTTGTGTGTGAACCAGTTTGCAAATCCTAAACTAATAAGGAGGCCACCTCCGCTCCCTGTCTGCCTGTCCAACTTCCCTGGAACTGAATAAGCAGTAAGCCTTGGGCTTCTGCAGTCTTGCTCTGTGCATATTTTCAACCGATTAGAAAAGTGCTTCTCAAACTTTAATGAGTTTTATTACAAGGCTGTTTGGAGTCAGGAGAACTGGGGCTGGGAATCTACATTTCTAATAGGCAAATGCACATGTCATATCCTGCTGGGTCCTGAATCAACCTAATTTTTGTTAGGCTTCAACAATTGAAATTAATGTCCTTTCTTCCTTCTTCCCTCCTCCCCTCCCTCCCTCCCTTTTTATGTCCTTTCTTTCTTTCATTTTCAGTTTGGTTCACTTCCTGAAGAAGATATTCATAATTCAGACTCTTACAGTCCATCTAAAAACAAAAGCAAAACCATTCTTTTCTTTTTCTGGGAGAGGCGTGTGAGAAGGAATAAGAAATATTTTGACTACTAAATGGTTAATCAGCTCAGAGATGACCAGGGAAAGGTGGTCAGTGGGCTCAAAGTAAACCTTCACATTGGTCCTCCATTATTCACTGTGTAGGAACCTCTTAGCTAGTTACTTAACTAATCGACATCCAGTCCCTTGCTCATCCCAGACCTTCCACCTGGAAAAACCTTCCCCACCCATAGAAATTCTCTTCAGCTTTCAAGTCCCAGCGCCAAGGAAGTCACCTCTCTGAAGATCCCCCAAATTTCCCCTAACTCCCTAGGAAGTGTCCTAGAAGCACATTTTTTAAAAAAGATTTATTTATTTATTCATATAGAACTGGGGTACAGGCCAGAGATGCGGAGGGTGAGAGGATTCACCAGAGACAGAGTGGGGAGCAGAAGAGGCAGATTGATGAAGTACACTGCTGAGGGGAGCAGCGGGGCAGGTCAGGAGAGGTCTGCCACGCCATGTGGATCTCCTCCGGGGCAGGCGGGGATCAAACTCATGAGGAGGTGGCTTGAGCTTCTTAGTGCCTAGAAGCACATTTTGAAGTCATACCCATGGATTTAAAAACTGTTCTGTTTCTCTCTTCCCCTGCCGTCAGCTTTTTCTATTTTGAAATATGAGGAGACAGAGGCCCAGAAAATATCAGTTACTCACCCAAGAATATACCACAAGTTGTTGGTATATCATACTGAGATTTGAACCGATTCCCATCCCCAGTTTAGCATTCTTTCTAAACCGCGCAAACCAAAAACCTGCTCTACTGAGAGGTAAATGAGTGACTGAGATTCCTCAGTATTCCTTCCTGAGCATCTGGATACTGGACACAGCCAGTGGAGCTCAGCACAGAGGATATAGCAAGGTGGTGGATGAGGCTTAGCACTGTCACCCTCGTTGTGTGCAAGAGCACAAGGCGCAATGCCAACTTCCTTTGCTCTTTGTGCGTCCTGCTTCCAGGCACACTATGACTTGGCCATCAGCGTTGCTTTGCAATGGCTGGATCACTCAGAAGACTTAACTTGGCTGGAGTGGGAGGAAGTGTAAGTTGAAATAATTTCTTTCTTCTTTAAATATGTGACTATGAATAATGGTCAAGTCCTATAGGGTGGCTTCCACTGTCAGGCACTGATCTGAAAACACTGTAAAGTAAGAGTTCCTCCTCAATTTTGAAACACTGAAGAAATCGCACAGCTGTCAACTTGGGGAAGGCATACATAGTTGCATACATAGTTTGCATTTCAGCTCATTAGCTTCTGTTAGATGCTCTTTCTTGGACAGAATGTTCTGCCTTAGAATTACAATTGTGCTTTACTGTGCGCGTGTCATAATTTTTCAGGTTGACTAAGAAATGGTCTATTCTGGATAAAGGAAGCAATTTTCTAAGGTCTATCAAGCATGATTTCTTAGGCACATAGCTTGGCATGTACCTGAGCTGAGCTGTTGTGTGGATTCTTAGCAGGATGACTGGCATTTCTGCCATGTGTGCCAGGCTGACCACTCAGTTGATAAGAACATGCCAGTATTAAATCACTATGGCACAGGCCCGTTATATCACCAATTCTACAGCCATAGAATACACATCTGTTTTGGATGGCTTGTATTAGTTAGAGTTTAGTTATAATAAGCAGAAAATTCAGTTTGAACAGACTTCAGAGAGACAGGAAGGATTTGTGTACATGTCATAGTTTTTCAGATCAACCAAGAAATCTGAAAAGTCCGTGGGGAAGTTTGTGTTAGGCATGGTTTAATTCAAAACTCAAACCATGTCTTGAGAAGCTATATCTTGACTACATTTTCTGAACAGACACTCTCTTAGTTTTACCTACTTTATCACAGCACTCAGTCCAGAAGGGGATAGGTGAAAACTAAATCACAGAATTGCCTCTCAATGGCCCCTTTTCTTAAAGATTTATTTTTATCTATTGATGCATAAAGAACTAGGGTATAGGGCAGAAGAGCAGGTGCTGGGGGATGAGAGGATTCACCAGGGACAGAGTGGGCAGCAGAACAGTCAGATTGATTGAAATACACTGCAGAAGGGAGCAGGGACAAGACAGGAGAGTTCTGCTGTGCCCTGTGGGTCAGCTCCCTGGCTGGGGATCGAACTTGTGCCTCAGTGGCTGGCGATGGCAGCCCTCAAGGGCCGTTTGCCTGACTTGTCAGGCAGGGGTGGAGTCAGGGATAGAATACACTGACTTACTTTGTCCACAGTGTGGTTTCTATGCTTGGAGCCTCAGGATGTTGTTGGCTTCCCTGAAAGAATATAGACAACCCCCCACGCCCCATGACTTGCTGCAAGAGGGAGCACCCCAGTTGGCAAAACCACAACTGTTCACTCTTGAGGCCGGTCTGCTGGTATTTGATAGCTGTGAAAACATGGGTAGATGAAGACAGATTCATTCCCACTGTTGGAAGATCCAAAATTCTAAGTGTATACTTTAGATTCACTTCAACTTTGTGAATAAGTGCATAGCACACAGCCACTGGAGAGGACATACTGACTATTACCACAGTCATAGTAGGTTCAAAAAAATGAAGAATAAACTCTCCGTTCTTATTTATTCATATTCCCCCCCTTAGAAAAATGCCATTTCGTGGCAGACCTATATACCCAAACCGTAAAGAACGAGAAGCAATGATTTTATCATCTTACGCTGGAGTCTTAATGGTAAGGAAAAGAACACTATTCCCGTATATGGAAATTTCAGATCTACTTTCACGTTTTGGTATTAATGGATACTAATTTTATCTTCCAACCAGTGCTTCTAAATGCGAAAGACTTAGTTATGTTGAATGATTCATTTTAAAGGTGTAACAAAAGATTTTTTACTTCTATAGTGTATTATGAAAATGCTTGTTTAAGGGGGACAAAATAACCCAACCCAGAATGAAACGTATAAATTATTGGTATTTGGGTATTCTGGTTTCTCCATTCATTTGATGTTATTTATCAGTGCCCACATTATTCAGATGTGGGCACATTATGGAACTAGACATACTGGAGTTGTAGCATTATTTTGTAATGAAAGAAAAGCCATGACATAATAACACTTGTTGTTATTGTTAAACAGAACAGTCTCCCAGTTGAGGAAGTCTTTAGAATTTATGGGGTTGATTCTTCTGCCAATTCTCCTACAGCCAAGGTAAGGGTGACTTGACACTATCAATATAATGGCGTTTAGATAGAATTTCTTTATTTTGTACATTTATAATGTATTTTCAAGCATGAAATAATTATTTCATATCAAATATACAAAACCAGAGGCATCCTATCTTACTTCGGCAACAAGTGTTTGAAAAATGCTTTCCTCCATAGAAGACAGTTTTAGTCACCACAAATGTCTTTTCATGGACCCGAGTAGAGGCAGCAAACAGCGCACCAGATTTTGAGTGTAGATTCTGCCCGCTTCTAATGAACTAACTGAATTTCTTACACTTCCTGTAGTACCGATTGTAAGTCTAAGTGTGCCTCTTGGATGGTATAATATCCATGCCCAGACAAAATGTACAAGTGACAATCTCAGGTAAATGATCTGTTTTATCGGTGCCACATTTCTTCTTCCCACAAGACCACTTGGAAATCACTACAGTGGGAAGAGACCTGGGCAGAGTTCTGACTCCACAACATTGGAGTTGGAGGTCCCTTTCTCTCCTTGGGCTTCCACATTCTGACCTAAGAAAAATATGAGTGGCCCTCCCTGGTGGAGCAACAGGTTAAAGCACAGCACTGAGAAGCTAGCAGCAGTAACTTCCGTGTGAGTTTGCTCCCTGCCCTGGAGATGACTCACATAACACAGCAGACCTCTCCTGACCACCACCTCCCCAAACCCCTCCGCTCCCCTCAGGAATATATTTCAGTCGTTCTGACTGTTCTGCTCCCCACTCTGTCTCTGGTGAATTCTCTGACCACCCACATCTCTGGCCCATACCCCAGTTCTTCTATGCACAAATAAATAAATCTTTAAAAAAGAAATAAAGAAAAACATGAGTGTTTGGAGTGATCTTCACAGCCAGTTCAGTTTTTGTTCTTTATAACTGCATGAATATTTAGTAAGCATCTAAACATGGGCTGCTGTTTAGAGATGAACTATGGACCCCTTTATCTTTAGATACCTCTAGAAGAGAGCAAAGGAAAGAGAAAACAGGTAGGACAGAGATGTGCAGCAGGAGGGAAGGAGCCAAGGAGGGCAGTGGGGAGAACCCACCCACCCACCCACCCACGCACCCACCCACGCACACCCAGGCCTTCAGCTCACACCGTTCCTTTCGGCCTGGAGGGGAGGCCTGGGCAAGAGCAGGCCTCTGGCTACAGGAGTCTCTGCATCCCTTGTGCTATTTCCTGCAGATCACACTGTGAACAGAGGGGCCAGAGAATGTCACGAGCCACAGACCAGTTTAGGAGTCAAGCTTTTACTAAATGTGTGACTTGAAGCAAACTCTGATCATTTGAATCCATATATAACCTAGTTGTCGGCTTGCGTCTTGTTCTCTTGATCACGCTGGTTTCAGCTCCATTCTTTGTTCATTCATTCAATTTATATAGCTGCATGTACAGAGGCCATAATGTCAGCAATTCAGACAAGGTTACCGTTCTTGTGGACTGCATAGCTTACATAGAACTAACATCCTATCTTGGCTGTGATGTAAGCCATGCTAGGCCTGGTGTTCCTTCAGCCTGGTGTTCCTTAGACACCAAGATGTTCTTGACTTTTAAAGCAAGCCTGGCTCATTGGGCTTCTTGAAGAGGCAAACAAACGGCTTCATCCCTGTTTGTTTTTTTACAGCTCTCCCTTCCAAGTGCTCTCTTTGCCTCTTTTCCCACTCCCACCCCTCACCCCAAACATGTACACACAAGCACCAGGCCCCAAGAACTTCTGTTTCTTTTGTCACTGTCTTTTGTCTTCCTTATCTTCTGGTACTTGGGAGAGATCCCAGACAAGACTCAGCCACTTCTCATCTGTTGGTCTCAGCTTATACGGCCAGAAGGTAAAGATGGCATATCACATTCTAAGAGGATGACACTGTGGACCTCTCCAATGCTGTCTGCATTGTCAATCAGAGTTTACAGACGTGGGTGGCTCCATAGTTTGAATGAATCAGGTTCATTGAAAGGAGCCAGGTCAGGAAGACACACTCTCTAGATGTGGGCCAGTCAATCTCTACCCAATCATTTATCAATCACTTACTCACTGAAGAGTCTTTCTTGGTTATTCAGAGCCCCTGTCCTCATGGTCAGTGACAATAATAACAAGCCAGGGTGTATGCGCACACAGCGTAATGACTAGCTGTGAAAGTCAGCGGACGCTGTCTTCACACAGGGGCTTTCCCTCAAAGATCTGTATTTGTTTATCGTTATGGGATATGAGTGCAGGTTCGTTTATTGACTTACAAGTGAAAGGCAGTTTGTGGAAGAGTGAAGTATGAAGGCTCTAAAGCCAGGCTTCTTGAACCCCAACCCCCTCCAAGCAGAATAACCCAGGCAGGCCCTCTGAGCTCTGTCAGCCTCAATACATTTGCAAAAGCAACAACTAGTGATGAGGAGTCTGTGGTAGCACATTGAAGCCCTTAGTGCTTGGAATTTGGAAGTCTCAAAACAATCAGTCCAGTTAAGGATTCTGCTACTCGGGTGATGGGTACCTGATTTTCCTCTAAATCAGAGGTTCTCAATATTTCAGATGAGATAAATCTTTGCTGTGTGTAGGGGTGGGGTCAGGAGTTGTCCTGCACTGGGGGATGTTTGACAGCATCTCTGACCTCTGTCCATTAGATGCCAGTAGCTTGCCCTGAGCTGTGACAACCACAAATGTCTCAAAACTTTGCCAAATGTCCCCAAATGGCACACTTTTAGTCAATCAGTTATCACAAGGGAGTATGTCATGATTTGAGCTACAAATATAAGAACCTAAGGAACTTCTACCCTGGGAGGCCTCCCAAGCTCCCTCCTCGTCCCCCAACCTCAAAAACAGCTCAGTCCTGCCTCTGTGCCCACATTTCAGTTCCACTCTGTGACCTCCTCATTTTAAATAATGAATCAGCAGGACTGGTCAACAGAAACGTGATACTTCATAAATTAAGTTGTAAGAGCTACTTTAAAGTATTCCTTTGGCATTAAGCATAACTTTTAAAAAATATTTCTAAGGAGGAGATGGGTTATTAAAAAATGGTCATTGCCAAAGGTCCTTCTTTAATGGCTGCAAATATCTGAGTGACCTTTGATTCCTTCAGATGAAAGGTTTCCTTAGGCAACTGCTAAAATCCTCTCCAAGGAGGAGGTTCAACCCTGTTGAATACTAATCAGATTATGCAGATTATGTAGCCACCGGTCAGGCAGGACACATGGCCATTGTTCCCAGGCGCAGAGGTTTTCTTCAGGACAATTTGCTGCCACCTGGTGGCACAGCAGCATCATAGGCCCAGTTGTTCCCACCGGGCCACTAACCTCAGGTTCTACTGCCCAAGAACCGTTTGTTTGCTGACTTGGAGCCATTTTCGCTGCCTGTACAAACACCCAGAGGCGAAAATGCAACTAAGGGCCTCACCCAAGTGAAAGTTATTTATAATTAGCAAACAACACTCTCTGGGCCTCTAGCTCCACATCTTTCCCTTCAACCTGGTGTCCTTCTTGAATTATGTATTTATCATTCTCTTTTATTTATTCCTCGTTTTAACACATATACATCGGAATCAGTATCGTGTTTAGTTTTGCATGATCTTTGCATAATTCATTCTGCATAGATGAAATTTAAACACTATATATATAGAAAGGAGGCCATATAAATGAAGCAAATTATCATTTTATGGCTTGTGTGTTTTCACGTAATGTTGCAATGCACAAACTCATCCATATTATCACATTACTTTCACTGCTTGTAGTATTCCACTGTAGGAATACACCACAGTTTACTTGTATGTTCTTCTGTTTTAGATATTTAGATGGTTCTTTTGATGTCTCTGGTTGTACAGTGATAGGTTTTGTATGGTGTGTGCCTAGGACTTAAATTGCTACATACCAGGATATGAGCTACATAAAGTCAAATTATTCTTCAAAATGGCTGCATCAATTAAAACTTCTGTTTGCAAAACAGGATACCTGGTTGCTATCAACACTTGATTATTTTTTAAGATGTATTTATTTATGCATACAAGAACTGGGGTACAGACCAAATGTGTGGGGGTGAAAGGGTTCACCAGAGACAGAGTAGGGAGCAGAACAGGCAGATGTAGTGAAATGCACTGCTAAGAGGAGCAACAGGCTGGTCAGTAGAGGTCTGCCGCACCACGTGGGTCACCTTCCTGGGTGAGGATCAAACTTGTGCTGCAGTGGCTGTGGCTTCGTATTGCTATACTTTAACCTGTTGTGTCACCAGGGAGGGCCCCATTCCTGATATTTTCAGACTATTTAAGTTTGCCTATCTATTAACTGGTCTTCATTTACATTTCCCTGATCACCAAGGGGCAACTATTCCTGTTTCTACTTCTGTAAAGTATCTGTTAAAGTCTGTTGTTCATTTTCTCTATGGGGCCAGTCATCTTTATACACACACACACACACTCACACACACGTATATATACATATGTATATGTATATATGTATGTATGTATAGATATGCATGTGTGTGTGTATGTGTATAAAACCTCAATTTTTAGAAAAACAACTATAGGATATAATCAGTCAAGTCCTAAATTTTCAGGTACTTTTCCCATTTGAAATGTGTTCCTTTTTTCCCGACAAATATGAAAATGGTTAGCAAATAGGATTTTGCAACATCCCAATCACATTTTTAAAGCCTCTTGGACAATTATAAACTCTTTTCAGACCACATCCTACTTTTACTCGGGAAAATATGACTGCCACAGGCATACATCCAATTGCTTTGAGACCAACGGCCAGAATTCTCCACCCTCTGCCTCAGTGATGTCAAAATGATAGCTGAAGAAGTTCTGCTGAAGGTTAAAAGGCAGGTGAAGATTATGACCTCTGTGTTCATCCCGTCCTGGTGGCCCCATTCAGAGCCTCCCTGCAGTCTGAGCCATTACTCCTGGATGTCCTCTCTGCTCCTCCTTCCAGCTACAAGATATTTGTGTTAAATGTGCTCTGGACATCACTTGCCATTCATTCAGTACTTTAATCAAGAAATTGCTCACAGTAATACTTTTACATTGTCATAATTCGATCTGAGTAAATAGCTTTAAGGCAAGAAAAAGAGGATATGATTAACTCTATCTAGGTTTAGGATTCATACCACTTTAAAGCAATTTTTTACATAAGCAATCAAATGCTTTCAGGTAATAAGGATGCAGGAAGATTCACATATTGGAGCCAGAAGTAACTTTAAAAATCATCAAATCACAGGTGATTTGGTGATGGGAAGCCC